AGAAAATTTTAAAGTAGAGGACTGAAATCCTCTAAAAGACACTGCTGATGCCTAAAAACATTAAGATGCTCTGTGGCAGACTTCCATTCCAGTTTCCTGGTAGACTAGAAGTCTCAGTCTGCCTTAGGATTTTAAGTGACAATGTGTGAGGCGTGTGTGTGTGTGTGTGTGTGTGTGTGTGTGTGTGTGTGTGTGTATGTGAGAGAGAGAGAGAGTAAAAGTGTGTGAGAGTGTGTGTGAGAGAGAGTGAATGTGTGTGTGAGTGTGAGTGTGTATAAGTGTGTGTGTGTGCATGTGTGTGAGAAGGAGAGAAAATGTGTGTGTGTGTGTGAGAGTGAATTTGTGTGAGAGTGTGAGTGTGTGTTAGTGTGTGTGTGTGTAATGTTAATTTCAGTACTTGTGTAAAGATGCTTCATTTTCTCTTCCTTCATGCTGTAATGAATGGGGGCCTTATAGTCAGGACTAGATAGAAGCAGGGTAATCAGGGAACAGGTCAGAGGGAAGAGGGGAGTTAACTTTCCCAATTCATGAGGAGATGAAGGTTTCTATAGTTTCAAATCACAGAAACTAACTTTAGCTATCCTATGCAAAAAATTACTTATTAAAGGATATGAGTTCATATATAAAATCTCCTGGAAGGCCAGAGAAACAGTAAAATGTCTGCAGCCATGAGTAATGGCAAATTCATGCCACCATGCTGCTTCGCTGGGAACATCAGTTAGCGCCACCGATAGCCTGAGGACTCAGAGTCATAACTCCAATATGGTGACTAATGCTGAGTACAGCATGTATGCTTGGAACCTCTGGCTTCCGAAGCCTGATGTAACACCACCACCCTTGTCATGATGGTTTTCTCCACTTCTTTTTTTTTAATAGAACTCATTTCCAGTTTATTTTGGCCAAAGTATCCTACTTGCAAATACTAAATCCACGTGCAGAAACACCAGCCACAAGGAGACTAGAGAGACAGATGTATTTGCCTTCCATAGTAGAAGGCTGATTTTAAGGTCATAAGTCAGTCTAGCATAGAAACATTAAAAAATGCTGACTGATAAAAACAGCAATAAGATAACCACTCATCTGGTCACCTTCCAGACAGAATGAGGGCTGACATTGATCTGTCTGCATAAAAGTATTTGACAGAGACAGAAGCCCAGAATGGCCGACGGTGAAATTAATTAATTTCCAAATAACCAAGGGAGAAGAAGTAACCAGTACCCAACTACTAATTCACTCTCTTCAAAACACATGGTCTACCTCTATTTTTAAAATGCACTCAAGTCGTTTTAAATAAAATAACATGAGTTGACAGTCAAAAGCAATTCTCTATAGAGTCCTTTTGTAAAGTGAGTGACTGTCTCGCAGTGTGTTTATAAGCCCTGGTTGGCTTATACTGGTTTACTCTAAGTAGGACACAAGCATTCAATTAATGAAACAGAAAGAAAGGGAGAGTGGTTATTAAAGATGCAAAGAGTATCTGGTGAAAGAACCAGATAAGGTGTCTTTGGCTGGAACTTATGACCTGGTTATATAAGAAGACTTCTTATGGGGGCCCCTTTGGCAAAATAACAAGAGTCACAGAGGCCCTGGGATACTCAGTGGTGGAAGAGGGAACCACCTTATCTTACCTCAAGGGCCATGAATTAACTCCCTTTTAATGAATGATTCAACACCTAAACTCTGTCAACAGTTCTGTGTCCCTTTGAAATACAAAACACTGGCCAGGACTTACCATTCCAAGGGAGGCAATCAACTCAGTCCCTGCCCATGAGAGCATCTGAGCTCAGTTTGCAACATAAGAAAGCAGAATGGGAAGAAAATGGGAAAAAAAAAAGCTACTCTAGTCCAAAGGCACAAAGTTGCATGGTATACCAAGGCAGCAAGAGTGAAGTACAGCACGGGTCTAGACAGGTGAATAGGAACAGACTAGGGACCTACAGGAGGTGACATGAAGACCACAGGACACACATGAGAGTGGGGGGAGGGACAAGCTGTGACATTGGGACTATAGGTGTCCACCACGAATATCCTGGCCACTGTGACCTTCAGTGTCACACGTGACTTATTTCTGTAGGTCAGAAACTACTTTTGACCCCAGCAGTAACAGACATCATGGCTCTAAGTTTGAGAAGGAAGAGGAGGAAGAGGTGTAGGAGGAGGCCATTTTAAGAGTTAGCTCAGAGGAAATATGAGCCCCTGGTGGGACAGAAATAGTGAGGAGTGGAATTAGCCTCGGAGACTAATAGGTGATATGGTACACATGTAGACAATAGGCTGAGTTACGTTTTAGACTATATCTACAAGTACAGGCCAGAACCCAAGCACATTACAGAATAGAGACTAAGAAGAAATTCCACTGGGGATCCATCCTGAAAGCACTTTACCTCTACCCCATAGGCCATAGGGTCATATGGAACAATAGAAAGGACTCCATGTTGTATGAATTACAGTATTTCCTGCCCCAAACTATGGTCCTTATCTTCCTGTCACCACCACCACCTACATGCCCTCACCTCTGACTCATGCCTCTAGGTCTTCATTTGGCTTCCTCCCTTCTCAACTACAATTCAAAGGCCCTGGAGAGGGAAGAGTCCTCACATCCTTATCAGACTCCACTCAATTATGCTTCTCTTATCAGAAGCTCTCTTATCTTAGCCAGTTTCTCCTTGCATCATCCTTACCGAACCCAGCCTTTGTTCAGCTTTGCTCTCCCATCCTGCTTTCTAATCTTCTGAGGGAGAGACCGGCTGTGTCCTCCTCATCTTCGGCATCTCAACAACTAATCCCATGCCCTGTATACTGAGCACGAGACATTAGATGCCAGATTTTCCATGAGGAGCTGAGACCTTAAACAAAGTCATTTAACCTCTGGAGCTTCCTTATCTCCAACCTATCTGCCAGAGGAAAGCATTCAAATCCACTCCTTGGGTTGTTAAGAGGCTGGTACTGGAACATAGCTGACAAACTGTAAGTCACTATACAAACACAAATCAATATTTGCAAGCAGCCAGCATAATTCCTGGCGAGTAAGTGTGTGTTGATCAGATGAAGGAACAAATGTGCACCTCTCCTGCAAACACCCTTTCTCTCCCTCAGGAGGGGTCTTAAAAATGCAACAGAGGACCAGAGAGATGTCGGAGGCCAGCCAAGGAGAATGATGTTGGCATTACAGACCAGCGTGTGTATCTCCTTCTGAGGCTGAGGCTTAGAGGAAATTGCAGCATGCTCTGGTTCTGGAACCTTCTCAGTGAGAGACATCAGGCGTTCTGCACTGGCAGACCCCAACTTCTCAGATGATCTCTGCCTCCTTGGGCTCCCTCCTTCCCGACCCTCCCAGCCAGGGCTCGCTACTTATGTGTCAGTTGTGCGGCCCAGTTGCAATGTATTATTTTCACTTACTGGGGTTTGGTTGCTTCTCCGGGTTTCTGCATCTGTTTCTCTTTGAATCTGTTAACTAAATATATATCTGCTGAGCTCAAAGTATTTTTACTTCTTTTCCTTCTAGCTCCCCCAGCCAATTTTGAAACCTGCCTCTCTAAAACAGTCAATTTATAAGTGGGTTGATTTGGAACATCCTTAAGCAAAGTAACCCATTCTCGTTATTTCTATAAACCCCCTCATTCCTTTCCACTCTCCTCCCTAAGAAACACCAACTCCCTTTAGAAAAAAAAAAGGCACATACAGTGTGAGGATGTGGAGACATAATGAAGAAAGCCATGGCAAATGTGGTTAGTAGAATTATGCCCAGGAGCAGATGGTAGGGACTGAAGGTAGGAAGGCTGGCAACAGGGACTTCTCCTGAGGCATCAGCAATCACCCCTGGAAGGGAAGATGCAATGAAGTCGTCACTTAAGAGAAGTAACCTTTGCAGAACATTGGAAACTATAAGAGAGGAAAGCCACGGAGGAGCATGGGTCAATACAGAGCAGATGCTTCCTTTACCACGCTGCGGCACAGGATGCCTCTGGGGGACAGACAGCTCTGGGCCTCTGTGTTGGAATCTTTAACCATAAACTGAGACTTAACAGCAAGAGTGGCCACATCCTAGCTCAAGTTCGCTCTCAGTCCATCTGTCACCATTTATCTGGGTCAGTGGTAGTTAAGAATCAAACAAGTCAGGAGGAAAATTGTCTAGCTTGGTTTGGGCCTTTTATCTCTTCTTCCTATTGCAGAATTATCCGTCATGCACCTGTGCCACAGGAGCCCTTGGTAACTGCCTGGAGACCTGGGTTTAAAATTTAGGTTCTTTAGTAATGTAAAACTGTGTTTAAGTCTGATTGTCTGGAAATCAACCATCTGCTACTCTGGTGAAGGCAAACCAGGGCAAAATATAACATTTCATCCCAGAAGAAAACAGTTGGATCTAAAATAAGGAATTGGGAAGAACCAACTGGAGAGAAGAAAAGGAAGACTTGTTTCTAGAGGAGAAGCCCATACATTAAGTAAGGGGAGCCCCGGCTAAGGCCTTCAGGCTGATCACTATTGACGGCTTCATAGCTGCAAACATCCTGGGCATCCACCCTGCCTCTCAGGAGCGGGAAGGGTGCCTGCCTGCTAGAGTGGATGCAAACTGCCTCAGCCATGCACATCCATGGTTTGACTTCTTCCAGAAGTCAAGGAATAGAATTGAAAATTCATTCAGAAATAGATAAAACCAAAAATTAAGTGGCTGGTCAGAGGCCTGGCTAACTTCTGAGAATCCCAAGTTCTTTATTTTCCAGAAGGAAAGTAAGACTGTTGCTGCACAACACTCTGAGGAGTGAGTGTGAGGGTGTACTTGTCAATCATTCCCCCACAGAAGAAGGAGGGCAGGGATAAGGGAACACTGATGCCTGTTGATAGCAGCAGCTCTGATGGGAAGGGTGAGAATGTGGAGGAGGAGGAGGAGGAGGAGGAGGAGGAGGAGGAGGAGGAGGAGGAGGAAAAAGGAAAGACAAATCCACCAGGTCTAATTTCTTGGAAAGGGAAGGAATAATAATTTCTATAAAAACAAAAGGCAAATTCACACTTCGACAGCACATATATACCAAAACTGAATGACACAGAGAAGATTAACATGGCCCCTGCCCAAGGATGACATGCAGATTTGTGAAGCTTTCCCTGTTTTTATATTTTATGTTATTATTTTTCCTCAGATGCTTGTTTGTTTTCTAACAAGAGACAGAAGAGTGTGGATTTGGATGGGAGGGGGTTAGGGAGGAGAGGGGAGGAGCAGGGGGAGGGGAAACCATAATCAGAACATACTATGCAAAAAAACTATATTCAGTAAAAAAATAAATAAATAAAAATTTAAAAGTAAAAGGTAAGACTATTGTTGGAAATGAAAATTGGTACAGATACTGTGGAAACGTTGTTAAAGTTCTTCCAGAATCTGAAAGAGAAAGTACCGCATGATTAGTTCATGTCCCTCCTGTGCACATACCCAAAGAAGAAGAAGTCAACAGAATAAAATCTATAGTTGCATACTCATGGCTTCTTGTGACACCATCCACAATGGCTAAGACAGGGAGTCAGTCTCTATGCCCATCAACATATGAATGGAATATATATACACATATGTACCACAATGGGGTACTATTCAGTCACAAAGAAGACTAAGATTGTCTTATTCACAGCAAGAAGACACATGTTAATCAAAACATACCCGACACAGAATGATAAGTACCACATGATCTTTTACACATGCGTGAAACCGAAAAAAAGAACTGAAAATGAAAGAGGAATTATTATGAGGTATTAAAAAAAGGACACCATAAATGTACCCATATAAAAATATAGCAGTAAATCCTGTTAATTTGTGCAACAAATAGATGTTAGTCGTCATATATTTTTTGGATTGAGTTTTGATATATATGTGTTCTTGCATATAAATACATATACCATGTGCATACTGTGTGCCCACAGAAGCCAGAGAGAACATCAGGTCCCCTGGAACAGGAGTTACAAATACCTGTGAGTAACCAAGTGGGTTCTGGGAACCGAACCTGGGTCTTCTGCAAAAGCAGCCAGTGTTCTTAACCACTGAGACATTTCTTCAGCCTTGATATTATTTCTAAAATGTGTAAATAAAAAACACCAAGGAAGAAAGAAAGAGAAGGAAGGAGGGAGAGAGAGAGAACAAAAAGAGAGAGGATTCTTGGGTGAGGGTTTTTTTTTTAAATAAAACTCTATTCTCTTCTATTTTATGTAAAGCAATTTTTAAATGCCCCAAAGAGATAGATGAGTGCTTACTCATTGAGAGGCATCCTTCCTACCTCATGAGAATGCCCCAGAATATAGAAAAAAATGCTTGTTTGTTAGTTTTAAGGCATAATTTCAACATACACCCCTGACTGGCTTGGAACTCACTAGATAGATCAAGCTAGCTAGCCTTGAATTCAGGGAGACTGGCCTGCCTCTGCTCAAGTGCTAAGATTAAAAGCATGCATCACCACACTTGGCCATGCTCTTAAAAAGAATTATTAACAGATTTTTATCTATTGCACATTTGTCAAATTTGCTCCAATTCTATTTCAAAAGCATTAATGAGAACACACTAAGCACCAGGCATTATACTAAGTGCTAGACATCTAAAAATAAATAAAGAGGAAAAGGGAGTTTGTGACTTAGATAGGGAAAAACCAGTGCCAAGTAATGATGCCACTGAGGCATTGCAAGCAGTGGCAAACACAGTAGTTACCTGCCTGGCAGATGTGGGGGCTCTTCACTGAAAACCTACCTGAACTCCTGACTGGGAAGGGGTGAGGCAAAGAAGAGAGGAGACCCACCACTCAGGGTTGACAGAATGATCAGGGCAACAAGTATCTGTATGCTCCTTTGCGGGGCTTGGCACCTCCATACCCAAGCAATACTATACTACCTTACATGCACACTAGCATGTGAAAACAATTCTTGATAAACTTGACCCTCTGTTGTATTCAGGATCTGTAGTCTTATCCTTCTGTGAAAAATTAGCTTGTTTAAACATTTCACAATGAAATGTCCATTGGTATTTATGGCATTATTATTATTATTTCTGGAAATATACTGATATAAAACAATGTATTTAAGTTATAAGAATTTCAATCATGCTGGTGAGTCAAGTCAAGGTCAAGGCTGAAGTTAGGGAGATGGATCATTTGGAGCTGAGAATCACATTAGCACAAGCATGCAGACACTTCTTGGTAATTTTTTGATGCATAGCTATGTTGGAGCAGCTGCTGTAAGAAAGAAAAATTCTAGACACCCAGAAAAGTATATGAAGGGGAATGGGTGGATTTTTTGTTTTGTTTGTTTGTTTTTTGTTTGTTTTGTTTTGTTTTTGGTCTGTTTAAATATATGTTCACAAACGCCACACAGGGAAGGGAAGATGGGCTGCTTATGCTGCACAAAGCTCAACACTTGGGTTTGCAGACGTGATTTATTCTTCCCCTGCTGTGGTGGCTAAGATGTTACTGGCAGTATGACCAGTTTGGAGTAACGATGTTTGGTGAGACCATGACTGTAAATGCAGTGTTCACAAAACGTCTGGCAATCGTGTAGATGAAGAGTCTTCATGATTCCAAAGCCAGTGGCATGGTGTGGCAGAGCCCAGTGTACCATCCAAGATTCTACCCCCATCTGGAATTTATGATGAACTGTGCCAGGACTGAGCGAAGGTTACCCACCCTTAGAAAAATCTTTACTCATACCGAGTGTGAAAAGACAAAAGATGGAAGTGGTGTTTTAAACAGAGGAGGAAAAATAAGACTTTGGAACTACATCAAACATGTAGCTTGCATGAAAATTACAAGCTAAATACTCGTCAAACCCCATGCTGAGCAGCTATAGTGTGCAAAAGAATACGAACTGCGGGGCCCTTTGCCCTATCATGCAGATAGTTCCAAATGCATTAAAGAGACTAGGAAATGTGGGGAGTGGGTGGAGTAAACATTAACAAGCATAGGTATCCTGGGGCTGGGAATGCAGCTGAGTTCCTAGATTGTATACCTAACATGCAGGAAGCCCTGGATTCAGTTCCTCATATAGCATAAAACAAGGTATGGTGGCACATACCTATAATCCCAGCACTTGGGAGGTGGAGGCAGGAGAATCAGGAGCTCAAAGTCATCCTTAGCTTCCTAGCAAGTTCAAGGCCAGCTTGGGCTAAAGGAGACCCAGCCTCAAAAAAAAAAAAAAAAAAATGAGTGCTATGAAAATGAAATTCATGTCATAAGTCTGCTACTTATTTGCTAGTAGCCCTTTTGTACAACTTATTAAGCCTCTTCTCTCATCTATGAAATAAGAGACTTCAAATACATTAAGGACAGAAAACAGGTTTGAAGTGAGGCATTGATTCTAACCAATCGGTACCATCTTCCAGGAGTTGTGATGAGACAGGTTCTAAAACGACACCCAGATTTAGTCAGGGAAGTACCGCTTGAGATCAGCAACAACTATCATGAATTTTAAAATGCAAAATGCTGGAGGAAGAAAGCTATGCATATGTTATCCCTTTGAGCAGATGATAAGGATGCCTTCCAGCTCTAAATAGAAGGGGCAGGTTTGTTTTCAGTCTGCTTGCACAGCACACCTCCAGAGTACTGAAGCCACGATTGCCGCTGCTCTGCACCTTACCATGAAGTTAATCACAGAGACCCGGTGGTTTACAGAGTTTGAACTATTTTAGAAACACAAACCCATGTCCTTCTAGAAGGCAATATGACTGTGTTATGTAACTAGACACCAAGCGCCACATGAGCATAAAGGGGAAGCCAGCACCGCCTGAGGATGTGGCCCTCAGGACTGACTTTGAAGCGTAATAAGGGGCTTCTGATCATAATCTGCACACGGAGTTGCACACATGTGCAAAGCACTCATCACACTTAGGGAAAAGCAGGGAGCCTGGTAAAGGTACAATATCAAGTTTTGCTTGGGAGTAACAAGAAATATCCCAGGAAAATTAAATCAAGATAATTTGGCACACTCTTTGTAGGCCAGAATATAAAGTATATGCTAATCAGGCAATGAGGATTCCAGCAAGATTTTTTAAATGAGACATGAATCCTTGAACTAAAATGAAAGTGTTCGATTCCTCCAAAGCCCAGTGAGTCCAGACAGGATGGGCAGCACAGGCTGGAAACTCTGCATCTGAGGCAAAGGTTCTGTTTAGAAGACTTCTACCTGATACTACATGAGAGATGAGAACCAAGCCCAGGGACACAGCAAGGCTCTTTGGAAACAATAATGGTAAAATCAGGAGAATTTCAACTTGACGAGAGGGAAGGGAGCTTAGGTTGGTCAGGAAGAAGTTCATGGAGAAAGTTGGTGCTGAAATCGAGGATGGTGAATGACTGGTGTCCATGACGTCAAGCTGAGAGCAACTGATGAGAGCATTCAAGCCCACGACCTTTTCTATTAAGTCATTTACTTCTATGTATTTAGTACCTGGTAAAGTAATGGGTGTTCACAGATTTATCAAGTATTAGTAGGCTTAAGATTATCAAGGTGGAAGCAGGGAGGGCAGGGAGTTGGCCCATGCCTTTAATCCCAGCACTCCAGAAACAGAGACAAGCAGATCTCTGTGAGTTCTAGGCCAGTTTAGTCTACAGAACAAGTTCCAGGACAGCCAGGGCAGTTACACAGAGAAACCCTGAAACCCTGTCTCAAAAAAAAGAAAAAGAAAAAAAAAAGATTATCAAAGTCTGCATTATCAAATTTAAGGACATTAAAAAACATTAATAAGGGCAAGTTAGATGACTGAGTAGGTAAAAGCACTTGCTGCCGAACCAGATAACCCAAGTTCAATCCCTAGGACCCACATATTGGAAGGACAGAACTGACTCTGAGAAGTTGTCCTCTGCCTCCACACAGGTGCTATATCATGTGCATACACACACACACACACACACACACACACACACACACACACACACACTAACGTAAAAATGAATGTTAAATTGGATTGCTTCTATAGTGCCTTGTAGAGTCTCTAGTATATTATCACTGAGCTCGTGAGTCCAATAGCCATGGGATGCAGTGTTCAGGGAGCACCTCACAGGGTGGGCACCCCACAGCAACCGTAGCCCAGAACCAATTGACTGAAAGTACCTGTAGAATGTTTTAGAGATCCTTCAATTTGAAGAAACAT